AGCTTTTGGGGCCGAATCACAGTGCAGCACAAAACCGTCTGCTTCAAAAGATGCATTGGACATAACCGTCGAGGTTTTGGGGCCGAATCAAAGGACTTCCCATGGCCCGTAGTAGACAGATAGCAGTTTTTGTGAAATTCCTTCTTAGAGTGTGAATGCATTGGACATAACCCACACCAGATCTTGTTCTTTGATTTCAGCTGGTCTACGATGTTTGTTAGCTTGCTCAATCAGCTGGCGTTGTGCTTTTCTAATGTTCTTTATCCCTTTCAATATATTGTTCATACAAAACTGCAAATTCACAGATACCGGGAGGCAGCCTTTGGATCTGGTCCCTCGTCAAAGAGTCAATAGGTCTCATAGGTTGCCAGCCTTTATGCAGTGCATTCGGTGTCCGACTAGTGACGGTATGGACACTATTGTTATAAGCACTTTTTATCTTTGGCAAGTTCTCATCCCAATCCACTTGGTCAAGTTTGACATACATGCGCAGAAGTTGTTGACACAAGCGGTTCATCTTTTCAGTCTGTCCATTTGTTTCAGGATGTCTACCTAACGACATGGCCAACCAGGGGCATTCCATCAACCTTTGCCACCGCTGTCCAGTGAATCAATCAGATACGATTGTCTTAGGAAATCCATACTCATAAACTCATCGCATCTGAAATTTTTGAATCACTAGGTTGGTTTTAGCTTCAGTTAGTACATCTTCTCTCTTTCCTCGTCACTCAAAGTGTTCCCGACCATTAGAATAACTCTTCTGGAAGGCAAAAAAACCTTCTATGCGTGACGTTCGCCCGTAATCAAGCTTTTCACTGCTTCATGGTAGGGAGTAGAGATTATGTGTTCACCTTTATCTAACAAGGAGAAAACCATCAACCATCTTATAATCTCGAAAAAGTAAAGGGTTTGTTTTTTCAGAGATAGGATTATAGGCTGTCATATTTTGTATTTATAGGATTATAGGCTGTCAAATATTGTCTTTAGTATACGCATCTCTGATTTGTCTTTCAATTCGCTTCCTATACCTAGACAAGTAACAATATTTATGAAGGAATCAGGTCATCTAGGGAGAGCGCCAACTACCACATTGTACTTACCTTTGATAGTTTTCAATTCACAGTCAAAGGTATTTATAATAGCATATCATCGAGCTAGCTTGTCCGATAGTCGTGGTTGCGTCTTGAGCCCCTTCAGTGTCTCATGGTCTGAGTTGATGAAGTGCCTGCCCAGTAGGTAGTGCTTCCATGTCATTAGCACCTGCAACAAAGCAAACAACTCTCTCTCATAGGTGGAGTTAGCCACTTTCTTAGAGCGTAGGCGGCAAGACAAACTCGATACGTATATACCCCTTCTCATTATCTAGTTGCAAAACCGCCCCTATCCCATACTGACTTGCGTTCGTCGTGATGAAGAATAGGAGTGAGGGGCCAGTGACTTTTAGCACAGGGTAGTGAGTCAAAGCATACCCTAGCTTCTTGAATGATAACTCACAATCTTTATCCCAAAACCAGATGGTTCCTTTCCTTAGTAGCCTCCTCATAGGATTTGCTATGCTAGAGAAGTTCCTTACAATAGTAGSTAGCCAATCCTAGGAAGTAGAGCAATTTTGTTGCGTTCCTCTATTTAGGCTAATCCCTGATTGCAACAATTTTCTTTTCTTCTGGCCTWTGTCTATCCTCATGCACGAGATCCAATGTACATAACTCCGGACTTATCAAATTCAAATTTCTTTGGATTCCTATTAAAGTTTCCTTCACGCAACTTCTACAAGACCATTCGTAGGTGTTTCTCATGGTCTTCTGGCGTTTTGTTGTAGACCATGATATCATCGAGATAGACAACCACGAATTGGTCGAGTAATTCACGAAAGAGTTCATTCATTGACCATTGAAAAGCTGCGGGGGGGATAGTGAGACCAAAGGGCATGACCACAAATTTGTAGTGAGCATACCTGGTTCGGAATGTCGTCTTGTGTTGATCTTCAAGGGCCACCTCGATCTTGTGGTAGCCTAACTTCAAATCAAACTTACTGAAGTAGTTGCAACTCTGCTATTGGTCAAGCAAGTCGTCAATCTAAGGTAAGGATTCCGCATTCTTCACAGTAGCGGAGTTCAATCCTTACTACTTAATGGATAGTCTGAGTTCACCTTCGTTTTTGGGCACAAAGAGTACATGTGCATTGCAAGGAGAGGAGCCCAACCTGATCCATACGTTTTGTGTACATTCCTGCAATTATTTCTTTAGTTGGAGGTGAGAGAGAGAGAAGCTCATCCTAATCCATCCCTTCTGTGTAAGTTCCTGCAGTTATTTCCTTAGTTAGTTCCTGCAATTATTTTTTTAGTTGGAGAGATAGAGAGAGAGAGAGAGAGA